CTGTGCAGTAATTCAGCATAATTCATATTCTGCATTTTGCCCCCGAGCATGCAGGAGTTTCCTGTAATAAAGACCTGTCGCTGCTGCTCGGTCTCTACTAGTGCAGGGAGACTAGTCTTGTATCCGTCCCTCTTGTAGCTTTCTGCAAGTCACCTTTACTGGGTCTCTCCCATGGCTCTGCACATACTATGTACAGTACTGGGATTTGTCACTGCCACTTTTACAAGGTTATTATTATTATTATACAGGATTTATATAGCGCCAACAGTTTGCTCAGCACTTTACAATTTAACGGGAGACAATACAGCAACAATACAGTTCAATACAAGTGGGATAGGAGGCCCTGATCCTGGGAGCTTCCAATCTAGGAGTAAATAACAAACATGTTTGTAGTTACCTGCTGTGTGTAGTGGTTTTGCACAGAGCAGCCCGGAACCTCCTTTTCTCGGTCTCCCTGCAGGCTCTCCTGGCCCTTCCCTCCTGTCGAGTGCCCCCAGAGCAAGCAGCTTGCTGTGAGGGCACCCACTGCTCCTTGTGTCCATTTCATGCTGTGCCCTGCTCCTCAGAGCTTACAATCTAGGTTATATTTGGATTTGCAAAATCCACAAGGTGGATTTTTGTTCTTTGGGCTACTGAATATATTTCAGCGAACGTTTGTGTGCTTGAAGTTCAGCTTTAAAAGCAGAACTAAACCTTTCGTTTTCATGGGTTTTCCAAAATTCAATTTAAAATATTTAATAAATGTTATTAAATCTGTAACTAAACACACAAATGTTTTACGCACTAGCGCACACACACACACAGTATGCAAATTCAAGGCATGCCTCAACTGTCATAGTTGTCAGTGTGCTGATGTCAGATCTCAACCAACATTTTAGGCCTCCAAATGGCTGGAGTCGTAGCTCATTAGCAGGTGTGACAAAATCTCATTGCGTCTAATGAACATGGCTCAAGATTGGTACCTGGAAGCAGACCAACATAAGAGGTCAGCAGCTGGTGGGACACACTGCAGTACTTGAGAAGGGGAGTAAAGTTTGGCTTAAGGTTTGCTTCAGGGTAATGGTATAGAAAAAGGTTAACAGTTTGTTTTAGGAGTTAGGGTATTGGTAGGCAAACTAAAAATTACATATATGATGCAGTGTGACTAGTCCCCCTATAATACATTTATCACCTGCTGATCTTGCCAGTAGATCTATTTTTTTTTATTTCCTGTAACAGAGTGACAAAGCTATTCAATCTGTAAGGAAATAATGAGCGCTGTTACTCTGTCAACAGGGTAATTTTAGATGTACTTTTAAAACAGGCAACAGGTATTTTTCTTTTGGGAAAAAAAAAATCTTTAGGTTACATGAATAAAAGTTAAGTTTTGTAAGTTCCCCAGCACTGTAATGTAGTTTGTTATAAACCTGTAATGGTCACTTTTCCAGACAGCTTTGTCTGTATGTAAAGTGGAAAAAAATACCAACAAAGGAAGGTGAAAAAAAAGAATTCATATAGTGAACATGATCATTACAGTTATCAACCCCAAACAGTTATCACAATGTAATATTTTTCTCTTTAGAGGTTAAAAGTAAAGTGTACAATTAGAAAAAACATAAACAAATATACTAACCTAAATGGCTGCAGCACCGATTCTCTGCTGAAGCTGTCCCTGGCCTCTAAGGCCGAGAACTGAGCAATCAAACAGCACTGATCGCTCAGCTCTCGGTCTTCAACCTGCACACAGCTGGTGACTGTCAATCATCAGCTCTCTGCTCTGCCCCTTCAGCGCTCACTGGAGCACTGAGATGTGGAGGGGGCAGAAGCAGCTGGCTCAGGTTCTCAGCTCGCCGAGAGGCTGAGCCAACTGCCAGTCTGGGCTTCTGGGCAGAAAGCAACCATAGGGTCGGGATCTTTTTCTGAGCCTTGACCAGGTCTGTGACATCAGCTGAAAGTGGGCTTTAGCCTGTAGTCGGCTGAAACCGGGTCACAGGATTACAGAACTAACTAGAAAAGCTACAATTTCTGGGGAAATTGTGTGAAGTGTTCTTGCCTCCACCAGTAGTCTACAACTCACACTATAGCTTTTGTCACTGTGCTGCCTGCTCACACACCTGGGTTCCTATGGCAACTCACTCTACAGCAAAGGGCAGAGAAGAGCGGTTAAAAACAAACTGCTCCAACTTGCTCACTTCACTGGCGGTTGCCATCTTCAAACAGTTGTAGTTTAAAAATTATAAATCCTACACCGAAGAGCTTTATATTGTGAGAATCACAAGACCCAGACCTACATTTTGATGCATAGTATGTCTCTGAAATATTAAAAATAGAGTGGAGTTTTAATGAATGTCAATGGGCGGCGTGAGTTGCAAACAAATGGTCATATTGTGAAAACTATCAGGACTATGGCTTAGCCGTGGACATTTTTAGTGGCAGCAGGGATAGCTGAACATTTTGATATAAGATTTGTGTAGGTGGGCTTGAAAATGAGGGAGCGATGGCAGTTTAGAAATCATGTCCTGATTTTTCAGCTCACACTCTAGCTTTTGTCAGCTCCCACCCTAGTTTTGAACATTCCGCCATTCATTCCTATGGGACCAATTTCACCACAAAAAACGCCGATATTTTGTGAACCATTCGGCGAAACATTCCAAAAAGTAATAGCACACCAATCGGGAACAATCCGCGTGTTTTGGTATATTACGGTCTATGTAGTGTAAAAACTGTGGGAGGAGTTAGGGTGGTAATGTATCTATAATAATAAGAATATATATGTGAGATAACAGGAAGTGGTCTTGCCATGCAAAAACACTTAATTACACTCCTGTGATCCATAGGAGAAGCTTTGGCTATAATTCTCTTTTAAGAGTTACATTTAGGAGTTAGTTGTGGTTAAGGGTTGTGATTAAAAGTTTAGCTTAACTGTTAGGTATTAGGTGCAAGTTCTTTTTTTTAAAGCCCAAATGAAGCCTCCTTATTTTTTTACTGCAATACCATGAGGCTGCATAAACAGTAAAAGACATAGGCTTCTTTTTTTTAATTATTTTATGTACTATTTAGTTGCAGCAAGGGGTTAAAAAATGCACTGTGCTTACAGCACACTAATCTGGGACTGCTGCTCAACACAGAGGTCCAGGTCTCCTGTAGTCCAAACCCCCCCCCCCCCCCCCCCCTGTACAGTGCACTAAAATAAGCACACTCATGCAGGGCCAACCTCTCTTCACCTAAATTGTTTGTATGAAGTTCTCGTGCCTATTAGGTTTTTTATAATTGATTAGAAATTATTTTTAGTTAATGCAGAAAAATAGACATTTGAAAAAAAGAAAAGGTTTTAAAGTGAAGCAAAAGAAAAGCCTCCAATTCGCCTACCCATCACCGTAACAGAGAGACAAGAAGACAAGCTAGGAAAGAGTCTTGGATTTCGCAGTCAGTTGAGTGTGAATCTTCTTGCATACATACCAAGTAGAGTCATGTGCTTGTAAACTCAAGAACTTTACCTGATGACGTTGAAGCTATTCTACCATCAGCTAGTGCTTTGGAAGAATAGTTTATCAATTGTAAATGTTCCTTTTCTTTAGTGGTGCGCTCAGTGTGGAAAGTGGTTTCTAGGTCCTATGGGAGTTATGTCCGTATTACAGCTTAGGTCAAGAGGTTCAAGCTTCTCCTGAGGCACAAAGGCAACATCGGGTACTATATAAACAAAAGAATTTGATAGAGTATTACAATATGATGTCCCGTGGAAACATATGAATGACATTTAGCATCTATTGTATGTAAAATCTCAAGTGTGGTACACAGACTGCAATTCTAGACATGTATAGCACCACTGATTGTAAGTAAAAAAAAAATAATGTTTTCCTTTTTATAGGGTATAAAAAAAAAAAGTTTAAACATCAAACATGTTGGACCACTCAGTAGTAATTTATTAAATCAAAATGCTAATTTTATGAGCATTAGAGAATCAAGACCATTTATTTTAATGAGGAAACAGTTTCCTGAAACTGCTGGTCAAGCGAAAAATTGATTTCATTTTTTAATATTATATTTAAATTGGAACTCCAGTCAAAACATTTTTTGGCTGTTTTGAATAGAACAGGGAAAGGTTAGACCACATGTCACAGGTATTTATTTTTGAGGGAAGATTTTCTCATTGCACAATCTGGACAGAAAGTTAGCAGAATTCTCGACCAACATTGGCAGGAATAAAAATCTATTGTGACATGAAATGGTGGAGCCCAGTTAGGCCAAAAGTATTGCCAATCTGATATGTCAGATCTTTTTAGACAGCTCCCAAGGACAAAATGGGCCCCGACATGGCTCTTGGGGTAAGTCTCATAGTTTACATAAAAAGAGCGATTATATTTGACAAAGTTTGACACAGCAATCGTGTTAAAACAGCCAGTGTGGCTCTGGGGCTTTCAAACGGACCCCTTCATCAGGGCTCAACAGTGCCGGATTGGAAAAGAACGGCTTAGTTGAATGTGTATTTTATTGCTTTTGCAGTCAAAATCTGATATCAGAAGAAAGTCTCTTGTGGACACCAATTTAGCAACCTAAGGGCCGGTGTGGATGAACTTTGGACCATCACTTTGAGATGCTTTTGAGATCGTTCAGAATTGATTGACATGTACATTGGACCTGCAGTTGACCTTCTTATGACCTGCTTTTCACTTGCTTCAAGTAGGTTTTGCATTCCCATAGATCTGAATGGGAATGCAAAACACACTTGAAGCAAAACAAAAGCCTGTGGTCACAAGCCCTAAACCAGGTTGGAAAGAATTAAATACAGAAATTATACATCTTCTGCTTTTGAAAAAAAAAACTAAATATGAGAAAGGGTTATGGCTGGAATTCCAGTTTAAAAAAACTGAACTGAGAAGACAGGGATTATGTGTACCCGGTTTTCTCATTACTCAATAAATTTTGATTAATTACCCTTGGCTACTGAAAGGTCTTGAGGAGCCTGAATATAGCCTGGTAGGCCTTTTCCATCTTTGAAAGGCAGGCGTGGAAAGTCACTGGGGGGCCACGGGGGTTAAGCGCTGAGATCTCCTGCGGTTGTTACGTCCAGAAGACCTAGAAAGATTTGTGTTGTGTGGCGTACCTATAAAGAGAAATCTTTCAATGGTTAGGACATGGAACTATACAACCCATCAGGTAGCAAGAAATTTAAAGCTAGAGCTACTAAATTGTTTTATATAGGGCAGAGCTAAAATGTACTAAAATCTATGATGCCTGAGTGAAGTCAAAAGTCAGATAAATGTCATTTTTGATATCACATTGTACAGGAATGTTTCTACTGATGTACCAGAAATAGTATTTAGCCGTAAACATTCCTAAATGCAGATGCACAATTTTTAAAGGTTTCTGTAGCCACAGCTGTGAAAAATGTCAACCACAAATAAATAAGCACATGCATTTACAAAATGTAATCATTCCAAAGCAATGTCAGAAAAGAAAGTTGTTACTTATCAAATACAGCATATAATATAAAAATACATTTTAGTGCAATAACAAGACAGAAGATCACATGACATAAAAAAAATACACGAAGGGGTACACTATTTCACATAAGACTCCCACAATTTTCCAAATAAATCCAATTAGAAAACTGTGTAAATCTTGGGTGAAAGTTAAATAATTCAATAAATATAATTTAAATATAATAAAATAGAATTTATGAATAGACCCTATAGTATCCACAAAAATTTTAAAATCAAGTTTTTGTTAATTTTGGGTAGAGCATGGAAGGGCTGTAGTCTCTGTCAGATTCCTACTGCTCTCTGTGGCCCAAATTACAGGATATCAGGGGGAAGCAGAGAGGGCGAAAAACCTGACTGAGGTTATGTTTATTACACATTCTGCTTTTAAAAATTTAGGTTTTATTGCGGTGTCCCTTTTAGGGTCAGAAATCCGAAAGTGGACACAGACAACAGTAAAAAACCGTAACAGAGGTTCTGACCTTTTTTGAATGTTTGATATAGTAGGAAAATGTCCTGCTTTGACTTCTAGTTTAAATATATGGTATCTCTTATCATTACATGTTTGGCACTAAGCCACAAAAAAGGCACACCTATATCAGAGGCAAAAAACGTGTTACTGCTAAAAGTACTACTACGCAGCAAAAACATTTGACAACCGAACATAATTTATGTTTATAAAAATTACAAAATCATTGTATTTCTGCTCATTTGTTCTAATAAAGCATATCTAAGCCCAAGAACTAATGTTTAAAGTGGTTCTAAAGGCTCAAGGTTTTATACCTTCATGCACTCTATGCATGAAGGTAAAAAACCTCTGTGCAGCATCCCCCCCCCAGCCCCTCCTATTACTCACCAAACCCCCATCTCAATCCCACAATGTGCACTGGAGTCTCGGCTATTCTGTGACTCCCTCTCTTCATTGGCTGAGAAAAAAGTGGGAGCCATTGGTTCCCACCACTGTCAATCACAGCCATTGAGCCAATGAGAAGTCAGGGGGCGTGGCTGGGCCACAGCATGAGTGAATGGACACAAGGAGCAGTGGGTGCCCTCATAGCAAGCTGCTTGCTCTGGGGGCACTCGACGGGAGGGAAGGGCCAGGAGAGCCTGCAGGGAGACCTAGAAAAGGAGGATCTGGGCTGCTCTGTGCAAAACCACTACACACAGCATGTAACTACAAACATGTTTGTTATTTACTCCTAGATTGTAAGCTCCCAGGATCAGGCCCTCAAATCCCTCTTGTATTGAACTGTATTGTTGCTGTATTGTCTCCCGTTATATTGTAAAGTGCTGAGCAAACTGTTGGCGCTATATAAATCCTGAATAATAATAATAATTTAAAAACAAAAATGTAAGCTTTTAGAATCACTTTATAATATTGCAGCTTACCAGTCCTTAAAGTTTCATTTATTCAGGCTTTTGTTCTTTATTTTCAACTTTTTATCTTGCCAGTAGCGCACTTTGTGCCCTGGGGTGAGAGCGTTAACTCACTGTACTGTATTTATGGAGGTGCAGTATGATTACAGTAGCACAGGACTACAGAAACCTTTTCTTCACCTCTTATCCATAACTTTTACTAGAGAGGAAGAATTCTATAGTCCTCAGATATAGATGGGAACAAAAATAAATAAGACTGCAGCACAAGAGGCTATCAGCTCACAGGATTTCCAATAGGATCACAAGGTATTTTATTTTGCAATTATTTAACCACTTCCGAACTAGCGGTACCTGTATGTCGCTGGACTTTCGGTGGTTATACCGGTGTGACGCTGCAGGCATCACCCTTGTACTTTTTTTTTTTTTTTTTTTTTTTTTTTTTTTAGAACCAGCGGTCGGCTCTCTTGTACACGCAATAGGAGCACCTAACTTCCCGCTGCTCTCTCGGGAAGTCTCATCCCATTTGCACTGACAGCTCACTGTACATGGGGGAGGTGGGGAGCCTTGTTTGGTGTTAGTTTACCGTTTCATTTTTTCTGAAAAGGTGAACACTTTATGTAGAGGGTGAATTTACAAAATAAAAACTTTGCAGAGAGTTTAACTCTTCCCCAACCTATTCAATACTGAAAAACAAGGATACACTGTAAACAAATGTTAATGTTCATTTCTGTACAATTCATGATCAATCTTTGCATTAGAAACCAATAAAATTGCACAAAAAACAGGAACTGTTTAGGCTTAATACTAATATTTCCATTTTAACAGACCTGCACAATATGCAAGCATTTTGATTTTTTGTTTCAAGTATTTAAAGGGAATGTATACTGGTTTTAACAGTTATTCTTTTATAAAATGATAGGGCCTAAAAAAATACTTGAAAAAAAAATATGTTCTTTTATTAGGTAATTATGAAATATTGCATATTAATTGTATGCAGTCTGTCCAGTCAACAGGTGGTACTGTTGTCAAGTGAACTACTGTACTAGAGCGAGGAACCTCAAAGAAAAGTTTGTCTGCTGTGACGTTTCTTTAGTAAACACACACAACTTCCAAATGGGGAGTTACATACAATCCAGACAGAATTCATATCTACTGGTCAAGCAGACTCCAATTCCACAAATTTCTCCTTGCATGACACAGTGAACTAAGCAGCCAGAACGACAGTTTCAGGCATCGCCACTCTTCCACAATTGAAGCTGAGGAAAGGTGAGGATGCCCAAAACTGTTGTTTTGCCAGCTTATTTCACTGTGTCATGTAAGGAAGCTAGGAGAAATTCCTGGATAAATCATTTTCAAGTATTGGATTTCGCTCCTGATCTTAGTTCAGATTCAAATATATACAGTGCAATCAGAAGGTATTCAGACCCCTTCACTTTTTTCAATTTTGTTATGTTGCAGCCTGATACTACAGTTGTTTTTTTTTTTTTCTTTTAATCCACATTCAGTATCCCATAATGACAAGTGAAAAAAGAATTTCAGAAATGTTTGCAAATTTTTTTAAAATGAAAAACTGAAATATTACATATGTATATGTGATATGACATAAGTATTCAGAACCTTTGCAACAACACTTGAAATTTAGCTTATGTGCCTCCCATTTCTCTTGATCGTTGCTGATCTGAAATTTTTTGCAGCCTTCCCCAGATCTGTGCCTTGCAATAATCCTATCTCTGAGCTCTGCAGGCAGTCCCTTTGACCTCATGGCTTTTGCTCTGATACAGTATGCATTGTCAGCTGTTAGAAAGAAAACAAACTCTCTTGCGCTCTATGACCCAACACGGGGTAGGTAGATGGAGTCAAGACTTGAAAGTTTCTACCACCAGTGCATATGGGGTTGTGCAGCTGTTAGGCCTGTGCCTTTCCAAATCACATCCAATCAATTAAATTTACCACAGGTGGACTTCAATCAAGGCGTAAAAACATCTCAGCAACAATCAAGACAAATGGGAGGCACCTGAGCTAAATATCAAGTGTTGTTGAAAATGGTCTGAATACTTCTGCCAATGTGATATTTCAGTTTTTTCCCTTTTCATACATTTGCAAACATTTCTAAAACTTTGTTTTCACTTTGTTAATATAGGATAATGAGTATAGATTAAGGAGAAAAAAAAATCAATTTAAACAACTGTAGCATCATGCTGCAACATAACAAAATTGAAATTGAATACTTTGAGTGCACTGTATACAGGTGAAACTCAAAAAAATAGAATATCGTGCAAAAGTTCATTTATTTCAGTAATGCAACTTAAAAGGTGAAACTAATATATGAGATAGACTCATTACATGCAAAGCAAGATAGTTCAAGCTGTGATTTGTCATAAGTGTGATGATTATGGCTTACAGCTCATTAAAACCCCAAATCCACAATCTCAGAAAAAGAGAATATTGTGAAAAGGTGCAATATTCTCGGCTCAAAGTGTCCCACTCAAAATCAGCTAATTAAGCCATAACACCTGCAAAGGGTTCCTGAGCCTTTAAATGGTCTCTCAGTCTGGTTCAGTAGGAATCACAATCATGGGAAAGACTGCTGACCTGACAGTTGTGCAGAAAACCATCATTGACACCCTCCATAAGGAGGGAAAGCCTCAAAAGGTAATTGCAAAAGAAGTTGGATGTTCCCAAAGTGCTGTATCAAAGCACATTAATAGAAAGTTATTTGGAAGGGAAAAGTGTGGAAGAAAAAGGTGCACAAGCAGCAGGGATGGCAACAGCCTGGAGAGGATTGTCAGGAAAAGGCCATTGAAAAGTGTTTGGGACTTTCACAAGGAGTGGACTGAGGCTGGAGTCAGTGCATCAAGAGCCACCACACACAGATGATCCTGGACATGGGCTTCAAATGTCGTATTCCTCTTGTCCAGCTTCTCCTGAACAACAAAACATCAGAAGCGTCTTACCTGGGCTAAAGAAAAACAGACCTGGTCTGTTGCTCAGTGGTCCAAAGTCCTCTTTTCTGATGAGAGCAACTTTTGCATCTCATTTGGAAACCAAGGACCCCGAGTATGGAGGAAGAATGGAGAGGCACACACTGCAAGATGCTTGAAGTCCAGTGTGAAGTTTCCACAGTCTGTGTTTATTTGGGGAGCCATGTCATCTGCTGGTGTTGGTCCACTGTGCTTCATTAAGTCCAGGGTCAATGCAGCCATCTACCAGGAGATTTTGGAGCACTTCATGCTTCCTTCCGCAGACGAGCTTTATGGGGATGCTGACTTCATTTTCCAGCAGGACTTGGCACCTGCCCACACTGCCAAAAGCACCAAAACCTGGTTCAATGACCGTGGGATTACTGTGCTTGATTGGCCAGCAAACTCGCCTGACCTGAACTCCATAGAGAATCTATGGGGCATTGCCAAGAGAAAGATGAGAGACATGAGACCGAACAATGCAGAAGAGCTGAAGGCCGCTATTGAAGCATCCTGGTCTTCCATAACACCTCAGCAGTGCCACAGGCTGATAGCTTCCATGCCAAGCTGCATTGAGGCAGTAATTGCTGCAAAAGGGGCCCAAACCAAGTACTGAGTACATATGCATGCTTCTACTTTTCAGAGGTCCGAATATTGTTCTATGTACAATCCTTGTTTTATTGATTGCATGTAATATTCTCATTTTCTGAGATTGTGGATTTGGGGTTTTCATGAGCTGTAAGCCATAATCATCACAATTATGACAAATCACGGTTTGAACTATCTTGCAATACATGTAATGAGTCTATCTCATATATTAGTTTTACCTTTTAAGTTGCATTACTGAAATAAATTAACTTTTGCACGATATTCTAATTTTTTGAGTTTCACCTGTATATGGCCCAAATCCATTATCGTTTCCCATTTTTAAAAAAAAATTTACATTTTGCTCTGTCAGAAGATAAGAAATCTGAAGTAGAATAAGCACAAAAAAAAATACAATTCCAACTGTAAGTTAAACTTTGATTCATTTATACGGTGCGGTCTGAGATATCTTTACTGTAATAGGAAATAGGAGATGGGATTCAAGTATCAGATCCTCGCCTTGCTTTAGCTGTGGATCAATATTGGATATGGGGGATTTTTTACACCCTGAGAAGTCGCCAAGCTCCTGTTTGTCTTTCTTGCTGCGAGCCTTCCCGGAAGACATAGGCGGTGACAGCTGCGTGGGTGTCACTGTCATGCCAGAACGGCATTTATCAACTTCAGTTTGGTTCTGTGTCTGGGGTTTAGGAGTAATCGCCTAGATAAAAGAAAATAAGATTACAGTCATATGTGCATTTTACAGCTTTTACAGGTTTTAACAGCAGAGATTTTTTTTAAAGCACATGTCAGCTGAAGCAAAACAGCGTGTCAAAGGTAAAAAAAAAAAAAAAGAAGTAATGTATGCAAACTGAGGTGCGGAGTGGTTCAAATTTATATGAAAAACACTAAAAGTTCATTTTTCATGAAAGCTTAACACTTGCCAAAACAATTTTTGAGTGTTGGAGAGAAAGCATTCTGATTGAGTTTTTAGTTTTGTTTGTGAGAACATTATGGTTATATTTCCACACTTCCTGATGTTCTGAAACCTTTGCAAGAAATAGTGGGGGGGTTGTCAATGGGTCAGGAGGCCCCCGAAAGCAATAAAATCTTGTCAGAAATTCTAACCCTCTGCTGCCTGTACCCCATTGAAATTGGGCTTTAAACGCTAAACAGTGGTCTAATTGACAACTTTCTATCTGAAAAGTTCACATTATGCCGAGCAAACTGAATTTGTACAGAGAGGGGGAATAGAGGTTTTTTTTTTTTGTTTTTTTTTGTTTTTTCCTAGTACTCTAATTAAAAGCAAACAGACGAGAAATGAAATGCTGTATTTTGAGAGCACTTCCTCCCTTTCACGTACCAATTTGCTCTAGAATAAAGCTGTCCATAGAGGGATAGCAGTTGGGCAGGTTCACCAGGGACCAGCTGAATTTTTTGATCCATATGTGGCTGTTCTGTCAAATGGGAATGCTGGAAAACTTTGTGATCAGTGTATTCTGACAGCAAAGAGTCCTGCTGTCAGAATACAATGTCCCAATGGGGAGGATTCTTCCATCTATCTAATTTGTGTGGATGGAGGAATCTATTTGTGTTTTTTTTCTTTTTTGTTCACCCCGCTGGGTAAACGAAAGAAAAAACATCATCTATGGCCACTTTTATTATTCATTTTTCATTCATTCTTTTCATTATCAACAAACACAAACAGCAGAAGAAAGAAGCAACTGCACTTTAGGAAGAACTCTGCAAGTAAAGATATTTAATGCTGGGATTTCTGACACATACAAAAAAAAAATCACAATTTAGTAGATTAGAATTTTATGTAATATAAGTAGTAAACTAATGAAAAACAAAAAAACAAAATGGGCAATTGAATCTTAAAGAAAAAAAAAATATTTCTTTCCAAGCAGGTCATCCAATGTACAAAACAATTTCAAGATATATCTACGAGCAATTTTACACTGTGGGGTTTCTTTACTAAAGCTGGTTCACTTGGAATCTTATGTACTTCTGCAGGGAAAACAATCAGTTTACAGGTTTTAGGCCTCATGCACACAGAACATGAAAAAAAACAAAAAAAAACAAAAACCTCTCCTAGAAGCTGTCCTGGCAGCAGCATTTTTGCAGAAAAAACACCTGACGCTTGTAAAAGTATTGAACACTTTTACAAGCATTTAAGCGCGTTTACAAGCGTCAAGCACTGGGGCGTTAATTCATTTCATTGGCCAGAATGATAATTTATTCTGGCCATTTAAATGAATTAATGCTCAAGTGCTAAACGCGCCTAGCATTTAGAAACGTCAAGTGTTTCTTCTGCCAAAATGCTGCTGCTCCTGGACACACTGGCCCTTGTTTTTTTTTTTTACTGCCAGTAAACGCTAAGCTTCTAAAAGTCTATGTGGCACTGACACATAGGATAACATGGAGGGATGAAAAAACGTCCTCTATGGATGAGGCCTTATTGCTAAAGATTAAAGCGAAGCTCCACCCAAAAGGGGAAGTTACACTTTAAAGACTGGTCCCCTGCTTCCCATTAACCTCCCTAGCGGTATGATTATGTCCATATTTCTGTGCTGAAAGCGGTACATTGTTTTGCATGGAATTATGTATTTTTATTGTAGGCTGTAATTTTTAGGAATAACTCACTGAAATCTGTCCGAACAAGAGTCTAGTAAACATTCTGGCTATGATAAAACTTGAAACACGAAATCATAAATTATAATTTAATAAATAATCCTAAAAAATAATAATAATAATACATTTAATTAAATAATATAATCAAACCAAAAACACTGAAATTTGAAATATATAGCGCCAAGTTCGCACATCGCTGAGCAAAGTCGCAAAATCATTTTCAGTGTCTGATGACGAATTTCCCCCACGAATCATTATCACTCAATTCTGCAAGTGGTTCTGATTTACTATCGCTGTTCTCTAGCCGGTCTAAAACCGATTTTGACCTAAAAGGACGCTTTTTGGATGTCCTGGACTGTTCTAAGTTTCCAGGCAGAAAGAACAGTCAAAATGCAGACAGGGGACAGGACAAAGCACTCGGGACAAAATGTATGTGAAATGCTTTGATACAGTAATGTTTTACTATGTGATATTCATTTATATAAAAATGACAGTTTTTAAAATGTTTAAATTTGCCGCCGGTTCCGGCCCCCGTACGTCCCAACGCTCGCAGGGGGACCGGAACACGGAAGCTGGCTTCGGCCGGAGGAGATGGCGGGGGACGCTGCAGTGGACGCATCGCGGGAGCGAAGGACAAGGTAAGCGCTCCAGGGAATCCCTGAGCAACGCCGCATGATAAGCCCGAGTGTAGCTCAGGGTTACCGCTTTTGGTACTGAAACTTTACCCTGAGCTACGCTCAGGAATACCGCCAGGGAGGTTAAGGATTGGCACCATTGGGGAGCAGGTGAACGAAATTGACGGGTACCCGCTCGCACTTGCCTAGGCGATCGTAAGTGGAAGTTGTCCTCCTACCCTCCCTCCCCGTAGTCTTCTGGGACCCATGACAGGTCCCAAAAGACTACGGGGCCATTCAGAAAGCGCAGCACTACTCGCACATGCGCAGTGGGCACCCCGCTGTGAAGCCGCAAGCTGTCACAGACGGGTGCCAACACTGAAGATGCCGGCGCCTGGAACACCAGATGGCTGGTGAAACTTGCTGCGGGGAGAACACCGTGGGATCGTGGAACAGGTGAGTGGCCGGTTTTTTTTAAAAGTCAGCAGCTACAGTTTTTGTAGCTGCTGACTTATATTTTTACAGTATGAGAGGAACTCTGCTTTAATTGAACAAGCTGAGGTTAGAAGCCGATTGGCTACCATGCACAGGTGCACGAAATTCTGAGTGAACTAGCTTTAGTAAATCTCCCCGTGTGAACACTTCATGTTTCCCTTTCATTTCTTTTTGAATTTGACTTTTGATAATACAACTCACGACTCCAGAGCAGCAAATGAGAAGATCAACTTTGATCTACCTTTATGGAAAATGGTTAGAGCAGAGCTAGTTATCATAGCTCTCCTGTGTTTAATAAGTATAAAAGATAGTTTTATTATGTTAGAATACACTCATACTATTAAAAAAAAAATAAAAAAAAGTGTATGTGTATATATATATATATATATATATATATATATATATATATATATATATATTTTTTTTTTTTCTCTCTTTTCAATTTATGTAACACAGAAAAGTAATGGTAGCTACTATAAATAGGTTATTTGTAACATATTATTTGTATTCTATTTATAAAAATTTTTAAAATCTTATCACACTACATTCATACATCATTACAGTTTACAGAAATTTACACTTTTACTGGTATCAGCAAATGACTACTAAATCCCATGTAAAGAAGCTTAATATGTGGTTTTCTATGTCTTTTTGTATCAATGTGTTGAAATTATTTCAATTTGACCTTTGCAACATGATTTGTAGAGTTTTTAATCAATTATAAAAGAAAAACTGAAAAAAAAAAACAAACGAAACAAAAAAAAACTATTAAACTATATAAACTGTTCAATTTATTTCTAAATATAGGTAAACTAAATATTGCCAAGGGAAAGAACATTTAAATTGATTGAAATGTTTATTTCTGCATGAATATGGAATAATAGGAAATTACCCTTTTTTTTTTTTTCAATTCCAAGAGCTTTTTATAAATTTTGGACATGCACAGCGCAATCAACAATCATGATCGCCAAGATCTCGTTAGCTTACATTATCACTAGCCTGATTTCAAACAAGCATTTTCAGTGCACAATTTGATTCTATAGAACTTAAATTTCATTTAAAAAAGTGCATAAGGTGTAAAAGGTGTAAAAGTATACAGTGGGGATCGAAAGTTTGGGCACCCCAGCTAAACATTTGTATTAATGTGCATAAAGAAGCCAAGGAAAGATGGAAAAATCTCCAAAAGGCATCAAATTACAGATTAGACATTCTTATAATATGTCAACAAAAGTTAGATTTTATTTCCATCATTTACACTTTCAAAATAACAGAAAACAAAAAAATGGCATCTGCAAAAGTTTGGGCACCCTGCAGAGTTAATATCTTGTACTGCCCCCTTTGGCAAGTATCACAGCTTGTAAACGCTTTTTGTAGCCAGCCAAGAGTCTTTCAATTCTTGTTTGAGGTATCTTTGCCCATTCTTCCTTACAAAAGTCTTCCAGTTCTTTGAGATTTCTGGGCTGTCTGTCACGCACTGCTCTTTTAAGGTCTATCCATAGATTTTCAATTATGTTGAGGTCAGGAGATTGTGAAGGCCATGGCAAAACCTTCAGTTTACGCCTCTTGATGTAATCCCCCATGGATTTCGAGGTGTGTTTAGGATCATTATCCATTTGTAGAAGCCATCCTCTCTTTAACTTCAGCTTTTTCACAGATGGCATCAAGTTACCATCCAAAATTTGCTGAAATTTTATTGAATCCATTTTTCCTTCTACTCGTGAGATGTTCCCAGTGCCACTGGCTGCAACACAACCCCAAAGCATGATTGATCCAACCCCATGCTTAACAGTTGGACAGAGGTTCTTTTCATTAAATTCTGTGCCCCTTCTTCTCCAAACGTACCTTTGCTCATTCCGGCCAAAAAGTTCAATTTTAACCTCATCGGTCCACAGAACTTGTTTCCTAAATGCATCAGGCTTGTCTATATGTTCATTTGCAAAGTTCAAACGATGATTTTTGTGGTGAGGACGTAGAAGAG